AAACATTTATTTATACAAAGAATTATATTTAAAACATTAATTTATGTCTGTCTCTCTCGCTCTTAGGCGGGCTAACCATGACCGAGTGGAAGGGACGCGTGCCTCTCACTCGCTCTCATTGTGAGCGCATAACGTGAGCGGAGCGTAACGCAGTTTCTTGAAGTGTCACCCGGCAAACCAATTTATAAGACGTTGTCACGTCAAAAAATAAAGAGATCTAATATTGGTACAATCTCTATAACATGTTAGTTAACTCAGGGCTTCCCATACTTATTTTAACGGTGACACCCTAGGGAAGTTGGCATATTTTAGCGAGGCCCTGGCCTTCTTGAAATACATTTACCTACTAGTTGTAGTTCTAGCCTTTCTGACAATTTGTCAGAAAAACTCCAAATAGCATCTATTTTTTTATTAGAAAATAAAGAACAAAAATTAAAGCAAACAAAAAAGATAAAAAGCGACCACACCCTTTTTTATCTCTTTTCGTTTGGTATTAATGAGAAGGATGTGCTTGCTTTTCTGAGCATAGTTTCCCAAAACGATGCTCAGTTTTGAAATCAACTCTCTGTCTCTAAATTTATTTTCGATCTGTACTTGTTCTTAATTACTGCAACTGCAGAGAAGCTCTCAAGTCTGTAGTGCTGATGGAACGATATTCTTGATAAACTGAGCTCCAAAATTCAAGTAGCTTATCCTTGTTGTACCTATAGGAGCTTAAGGCTGGTCACAGGACAATTCTATTAATTGTTCTTCTTCTGCTGTCGAAAGTGTTGATGGTGAGGTCGACTGGAAAGGGTTTCTAACCCAGTCATATTGCTCGCGCTCCCGCCGCATCATAAGGCACATGGCTATCGGTGCAACACAGACAGTCAACCTATTTAGATCGCCTCACACGCCCCTTGGATAGTACCGCGGCGCCCCAGGGCGTCGCGACGCACAGTTAGGGAAGCCCTGAGTTAACTAATTATTATTGTTACTATCTTTTTACATGTAATTTTTTTGATGGGTTTATGATCCAATCGTCTGGTTCGATTTGAAAGTGTTCTTTTATCGAAATCGTATCTATGGTTCATTGATTTACAAAAATGAATATTGATGAAGTGTTTTTCTACTTCATTTTTAAACTTTGCCTGAATTCTACCAAAGGAACTTGCGATTTTGGAATTCCTTAAGAACATTTCCCTCATCTGAAAACTGAATGAAACAAATCATCTGAATTTGAAATATTATGATATTTGTAAACTGAAGTATTACTAAGACTAGCAGAATATCGATTCAACTTACGGCCACAATACGATATAATCACACACAATAAAGTCAACGTTCGATGTTTAATACTATACGACGAGAATACCTTTTATGACATTAGTAAGATCGAGAGTAGATCGGAGCTGAGTTAACGAATTTTTATTACGATAATTGACCTTCTGGTTCGTTTTGCCGTTACGTCAAATAATTACACAAACAATTACAAAACTCAAACAATGTTAACCTAATTCGTAGACATAGAACAAATGAGACGACCTTGTTGAAGTATGCAAATACGATATTTGCAAAGTATTACTATCTGTTATCATGAAAAAAGGTGTCATAAGCATGTACACGCTACACGCTAATAAAAAATATTTATTGGGCTGACACATTTGAAATATAACGCTTTTTACTTTTTTATTTAAATGAATGTAATTTCAATTTACTGCAAATCATTAAAATGAATATTTTAGAAGATATTAGAGGTTTAAAATAATTATTGCATTTAGAGATGTCCTGTAGCACAGTCCTATCATAGTAATAGTATAATTAACTACCCTGCACTGACATAGTAGTATCTACATTGCATCCGTGCGAATCCGGGCCGGATCGCTAGTTTATTATAACATAAAAACCCTTTCAAAATTGCAATTTAAAATTTTATCGGTAATGGTCGTAAACTGACAGTCAAGTTGCCGCGTTTGTTGAAGCTGGTTTTAATTGGTCTACCATTAAACATGGAAAGATCAACCTTTTAGATATTGAAACAGTCAAAATTTAAGAATAGCATATCCTCTTTTCTGGTTTCCCTCTGCATATACGTTATTTTAGCATCGTGGTGGTGGTGGTGGTTTTATACCGGTTTTTTGTTTAAAACATATAAATACACCACGAAAAAAAGATTGTTTGACAAACGTAAACCGTCCCTGAAAAAAAAACTTCCTACAAAACTCATTAATTTTATGGTTTTCATTTTTTTTTGTTGGATCTATGTTAATTTTATTTGTTTTGTATTAAATTTTTTTTTAAATAAATTTGTATAGATATGTAAAATTCTCTAAAAGATGCCGCGTTTTTTGGAAATCAAAGTAATTTAATATTTACCTTCTATTTTACTGAAACATGTCAGGCCTCTAGTATAAAATATGAAGGACATAAAAATTAATTAGTAAAAGCCCAATGACTTCCTAAATCGGTCCCTGAAGCAAAATCCGTTATAGGCTGACGCTATGTTCTACTTATAAAATACTTATATATTATTAAAATACAAAAAAAAGAATGCATAAAAACTAGCACGTTATCTTATTCATTAACTAGGCCTAATTGAAATTTCGATCAATTCGCCTAGACGATACAGATATATGTACATTTTTAAATGTCGTCATATGTAGCTAATGCTGCTTTTATTCATTGGATACGTCATATCTGCAGGCCTTGCAATGAAAAGTACTTGATGTAGGTTACAACACTGAGTAGCCAAATAGGGCTCTGGCATCGATTCGTAGTTTCGGCATATGGCACCGTTGCCATAACTCCACACAAGGACTTATTGCATCGCATTCATTCACGCGTTAAACTACACCAACGGGCTGTAGAAGGTCGACATATAAAAATAATTGGCACATAAACATTATCAATTTCTTTTTGTGATTTTTAAGAGTTGTTTAACAAAACATTTCAAAAGATATATGAGAACAAGGTTATCTTAGAAACTTCAACTATTGTTGTACAAATTAAATACGCTTAATTTAAGCAAGAAACTTTCTCCAATATGAGGAGAGGAACATTAATACTCCAACGGATGAAGCAAGAAAAAGTTAGATAGGACGTCAATTATTGGGTTTTGCAATTAAAAGTTGCGTGATATAACTTTCTTGTAAATGTTTACGTAAACACGCTCACTAAACGCTAAAACTTTTGCAAAGTTGTTGCTTTATCTTTAATTATGCCTTTACGTTTAAAAAACATTAAAAATAACAACCGGGTTTTATATGTTATCTACATTAATATATTAGTCTTGCCTCATCCCCGTGCGAAATGCTATGTCCTACCTAACAAATAGGACAAAATATGAGATTCACATTAATAAAAAGTTGGTCGAACTGATTACATTTCATTGCCACCAATTGAAAGCACCATGCCAGCAAATAAAATAAGGCTAAGGCTATCACTGTGTCAAATTGTTTATGATTCCATACTAACATTTGCGTATGCGTGATGTTTCCAATCATTACGAACAAGCCTTTTAGAAACATATAGTATGGATTAAAGGATTAAAGTGAGCAGCGATAATTTTATACTAAACTATATGAACTAAATACGTCGATGGCCCTCAAAATTCAAATCGATAGCTTAATGGTCGACTTCTCTGACTCTAGACAGGATATTCAACTGAGCTTTTAAACTACAAGTGGATTGATCGTAAGTAAGATGGTTAATGTACAGATCTATATCACAAGTCTTTAATAAATGGTTATTTATTCCAACTTGCAACCGAACAACAAATGTTATGCTGTTTTTAACGGAATTTACGCCATAAGCAAAGTTTATCCATTTTTAATCAATGTTTTTATTATATTCCACATCTAAAAATAAGTCTCTCTCAATTTCTGCCATAAAACCCAGAACTCCGCTTTCTGTATCCAATCTATTCCCTATCTATGTATCTATGGTTCATTGATTTACAAAAATGAATATTGATGAAGTGTTTTTCTACTTCATTTTTAAACTTTGCCTGAATTCTACCAAAGGAACTTGCGATTTTGGAATTCCTTAAGAACATTTCCCTCATCTGAAAACTGAATGAAACAAATCATCTGAATTTGAAATATTATGATATTTGTAAACTGAAGTATTACTAAGACTAGCAGAATATCGATTCAACTTACGGCCACAATACGATATAATCACACACAATAAAGTCAACGTTCGATGTTTAATACTATACGACGAGAATACCTTTTATGACATTAGTAAGATCGAGAGTAGATCGGAGCTGAGTTAACGAATTTTTATTACGATAATTGACCTTCTGGTTCGTTTTGCCGTTACGTCAAATAATTACACAAACAATTACAAAACTCAAACAATGTTAACCTAATTCGTAGACATAGAACAAATGAGACGACCTTGTTGAAGTATGCAAATACGATATTTGCAAAGTATTACTATCTGTTATCATGAAAAAAGGTGTCATAAGCATGTACACGCTACACGCTAATAAAAAATATTTATTGGGCTGACACATTTGAAATATAACGCTTTTTACTTTTTTATTTAAATGAATGTAATTTCAATTTACTTTATCAACATTAGCCTGGCGAAAAAAGATTACACACACACACACACACAAATTCTGAACTTATTTTATCAACTGTGGCAAACTTATATTTTATCTAAAACTCTTAACATACTCTTCAATTAATAAACGTTATACCTTAACTACTTGAAATTGCCTTTTTGAAATTTTATCATGTATGTGTAAATTGTAGATTTTTATTCATAACTAGCTGCCCAAAAGATGTTTCCTGACATAATTTTAGTACATTAGTTTATATTTTATAAGGAATACCAGTTATGGCTTTTCCTAATGTCCACAATATCCGTGAACCAATTTCCTATATTTTTTCCTAAAAAAAATCTAATTAAAATAATATCCAAATTCATTTCGTCTTTCTCTAGTTATGAGCACACCAACGACTGACATTTCATTTTTATTCTTATTAGGTAGAAGATATAAGTTTTCTTACCTGCCGAAGTCGTTGGGCAGGCTGGTGAGCGACATGTCGTTGAGGCCCAGGACGGTGAGGGCCCGTAACTGGCTAAAGCCGGCTGGCAGGCGCGGGATCGGATTGCTACTGAAGTCCGCGATCTGCAGTGCCCGTAACTTTCTAATATCATCAGGGATGTCGGGAATGTCTGAACAAAAGAAAATTATAAGTTAAATCTTAGTTACCTAACAATAAAGATGACACAGTTGTGTTTTGAAGGTCTTTACTCAATTACCTATAGAGTAAAATCGGATAACACCTCCGGATGTTACTTTTATAAATCGATCCCAAAACGTACGCTTTCACTTTTTAAATTCAAACGACATATACGTTTAAACAATTTACATATCATATGCAATAGATTATATGTTATTAGATTTATTCTTTTCATATACTCGTAATAACTCATACCCAAAAAAATCTAAATGATTGCTATCCAACTTTTTGATACTTGGTTATGATGGGGATGAGAGTTGGTTAGTTATGATTTTAACATAACTAACCAACTCTAAACCTATGCTATGTGCTATCCCATATACCTTTTTTGTTTTGTAAACTGGAAACAATGAATGTAATATATTTTTGAAGTAGAGCGTTGGGCATCTGCTTAATATGTATCTAGGTCATATGTGAGACTTGTTAAAGTAGTTACTGAACATATGTACTACTGCTGTATGTAACGTACGCTCAGGTGAGCTGTCCAATATACGCATATTTTGAGTTAAGTTATATTTATCAACACCATTAGGCTATCCAACCAACAATGGAGTTGAGGTATCAGTTATATCAGTCGGTAATGTGCTTTTACTAAGTTTGCAACACAAGTTTGTTCTGATGAAAATTATGTACACAAATGACATCTCAAATGCCACTACTAACATTTTCTCAAAACAAATTTTTACATATCAAAAAAATATTTATTGAATTGAAAAGTGATTAGCCGACATTATTGTATACCTAAAACCCACGTAGTATAAAATAAAGTCGCTTTTTCGGGTTGTACGCTTAGATTATTTAAACTAAGCAACGGATTTTAATGCGGTTTTCACCAATGGAGAGAGTGATTCAAGAGCAAGGTTTATGTGTATAATACAGGCATAGTATTGTAGAGAAAATACGCTGGTTTTAATTGGTCTACCATTAAACATGGAAAGATCAAGCTTTTAGATATTGAAACAGACAAAAATTTAAGAATAGCATATCCTCTTTTCTGGTTTCTCTCTGCATATACGTTGTTTTAGCATCGTGGTGGTGGTGGTTTTATACCGGTTTTTTATTTAAAACATATAAATACACCACGAAAAAAAGATTGTTTGACAAACGTAAACTGTCCCTGAAAAAAAAACTAAACATTAATTTTATAGCTATAATTTTTTTTGGTTGGATCTATGTTAATTTTATTTGTTTTGTATTAATTTTTCTTTAAATAAATTTGTTTAGGTACGTAAAATTCTCTAAAAGATGCCGCGTTTTTGGAAATCAATGTATTTAATATTTTCCTTCTATTTTACTGAAAATTGACAGGCCTCTAGTATAAAATATGAAGGACATAACAATTAATTAGTAAAAGCCCAATGACTACCTAAATCGGTCCCTGAAGCAAAATCTGTTATAGGCTGACACTATGTTCTACCTGTAAAATACTTATATATTATTAAAATACAAAAAAAAAGAATGCATAAAAATAAAATCTAGCACGTTATCTTATTCATTAACTAGACCTAATTGAAATTTAGATCAATTCGCCTAGACGATACATATATATGTACATTTTTAAATGTCTTCATATGTAGCTAGCTAATGCTGCTTTTATTCATTGGACACGTCATATCTGCAGGCCTTGCAATGAAAAGTACTTGATGTAGGTTACAACACTGAGTAGCCAAATAGGGCTCTGGCATCGATTCGTAGTTTCGGCATATATTACCGTTGCCATAACTCCACACAAGGACTTATTGCATCGCATTCATTCACGCGTTAAACTACAACAAAGGGCTGTAGAAGGTCGACATATAAAAATAATTGGCACATAAACATTACATACGTTATCAATTTCTTTTTGTGATTTTTAAGAGTTGTTTAAGAAAACATTTCAAAAGATATATGAGAACAAGGTTATCTTAGAAACTTCAACTATTGTTGTACAAATTAAATACGCTTAATTTAAGCAAGAAACTTTCTTCAATATGAGGAGAGGAACATTAATACTCCAACGGATGAAGCAAGAAAAAGTTAGATAGGACGTCAATTATTGGGTTTTGCAATTAAAAGTTGCGTGATTTCACTTTCTTGTAAATGTTTACGTAAACACGCTCACTAAACGCTAAAACTTTTGCAAAGTTGTTGCTTGATCTTTAATTATGGCTTTACGTTTAAAAAACATTAAAAATAACAACCGGGTTTTATATGTTATCTACATTAATATATTAGTCTTGCCTCATCCCCGTGCGAAATGCTATGTCCTACCTAACAAATAGGACAAAATATGAGATTCACATTAATAAAAAGTTGGTCGAACTGATTACATTTCATTGCCACCAATTGAAAGCACCATGCCAGCAAATAAAATAAGGCTAAGACAAATCGTGAATCACTGTGTCAAATTGTTTATGATTCCATACTAACATTTGCGTATGCGTGATGTTTCCAATCATTACGAACAAGCCTTTTAGAAACATATAGTATAGATTAAAGGATTAAAGTGAGCAGCGATAATTTTATACTAAACTATATGGACTAAATACGTCGATGGCCCTCAAAATTCAAATCGATAGCTTAATGGGCGACTCCTCTGACTCTAGACAGGATATTCAACTGAGCTTTTAACTACAAGTGGATTGGTCGTAAGTAAGATGGTTAATGTACAGATCTATATCACAAGTCTTTAATAAATGGTTATTTATTCCAACTTGCAACGGTACAACAAATGTTATGCTGTTTTAACGGAATTTACGCCATAGGCAAAGTTTATCCGTTTTTAATCAATCATTCTATTATATTCCACATCTAAAAATAAGTCTCTCTCAATTTCTGCCATAAAACCCAAAACTCCGTTTTCTGTATCCAATCTATTCCCAGATAATTGCTTCATGATCTCTTTTCACCTTTCGTTTAACACGACCCAATTTTATATTTACCAATATTCCAATTTCTATCAAATACATGGCACACCGAGGGTAACATTTTTAGACTTATTGTTTGTTTATGTGTAGTTTTAAAAGAGGAATGTCTGTTACGATAACATTTTTATTCAACTAGCACTTATTTAAAAAAAACAATGAGATATTAATTCTTACAATATCAGTACACAAGCAATATTTTTAGCTTTGCTGGCATGCTATGCTATGCTTAGCTACGCCGGCAAACATTATTGGAAAGTTATCTGTAATATACATATTGCATGTCATTATGGTAACAGGTTTTAACAGTCATCACCAAGACACGAAACATGGATAAACTTGGTGATTACAATAGATTTTTTTATAGTAACATAAACACTAATGTTAGTGTTTCCGGTTTGTTAGCGAGCATTCCAATGGGCGTGTCGTCATCAATTACTATTTGTCAAGTCAGAACATTTGTGTTTGAACCCAAACAACGATAACATACGTGAGTTATCTTAATTACCCCTCTATTCGATCTCGTTTAATGGAATGGATATGTAATAGTACTGTGTTATATAATTAGTGTAACCCTTAGCACTAGACGTTAGTTTTAAAAGTCACGTTGTTAATAAAAACTAATACTTGTTTGAACATTGAGTAAATTATTATCAACAATTATAAATAAAATATTTCTAATTGTTGATAATTACTAGAGAAAATTTTTGTGCCTAACAATAAGTTTGATCGAATATAAATAGACTTTGTCTGCATAAAAATCAGTTATTATATTATAAGCTGGTGCTAGAAGTAGTAAAGATTCATCAGCGTACGTTTTTCTGTGAAATATTCTTAAAGAAAAGCATAAATAATACCGTCTGTTGTAGTGTGTGTAGTTATTTTAAGAAAAGAACGTTACTATGTGGAATGTAAGTGCATCGTTTTGTTTATATGAAGGGTGCTACAAGATGTTCACTATGTTCAGTATGGGTCTACACCACTTCCGCTGTTTTTGGCCACTTTCTTTAGAATGTTTGTTTATCTGTTGAGAAAGAATTCTTAGATAAACGTTCGTAGACTGTAAGTTCTATAAATGCAGAAACTTGGAAGATTGTTAACAACAATGTTTATGTTTAACATTTACAACCAATGATCTCTAATACTTAACAACACCTTCATTCACAATATTATCATGATTTAGGGCCGGTTTTTCATTCCTCAGTTATACTGTCAGACAACTAACTTGGGAATAAATTTATCTTGCTGTTTATCAAGCGAATAAACTTTTTCTGTTTTTAAATCGGGTTTAAAACGACAGATAGTTACTTGATGGTCTTTAATGGCTAAGGTCACTGTAATTATGTGCAAGCGAGACTCAGTTATACAGTTAGTAACACGTTAGATGAGGACCACAAGCTATTAGACAACACAACGTTGATAGTGACGGTGAACAATAGGCTAGCTCCGTCGGCTAGCTTCAGCTTCATTGAACAATAGTGTAGTGGTTTGTGTAACGGACTGTTACTCGAAAGGTCGCGGGTTCGATTCCCGCTCCATTCAAACAATTTGTGTACATTTACATTTTTTTAAAGTTTTGTCTGGATATATAAATATTTACAAAAAAATATATAAAATAGTATATGTATTTATATCAGTTGTCTATTACCCATACAAGCTCTGAGCTCTTAGTTTGAGACTAGATGGCGTTGTGTGAATGTGGTATAGCATATTATTATCATTCGTGTTACTTTTGTATAAAATAAAATCAATTAAAAAACAAGACATTAAATTTCGAGAAATTGCATTTGCTAATAACTTGTAATTAAATTGTTCATCATAACACAAAGTATTGTCATACCGTTCTCTAAAACTCTTTCTTTTCTCTCAGGACAGCAAATTTTAAATACTCAATAAGGGCAACGTATATAAACTTTACTACAACTAATATTAAAGAATGTAAACAAATACACAAAAGTCAAAATCACTATACTACAGATAATATCACTAACTGAGGCATAAAAGGACAGATAAAGTTATTCCTCAGATT